CATCTGCCTTGGGACTTCCCTGGTGGCGCAGTGGTTAAGAATCCATCTGCCTTGGGACTTCCCTGGTGGCGCAGTGGTTAAGAATCCATCTGCCTTGGGGCTTCCCTGGTGGCGCAGTGGTTGAGAGTCCGCCTGCCGATGCAGGGTACACGGGTTCGTGCCCCGGTCTGGGAAGATCCCACATGCCGCGGAGCGGCTGGGCCCATGAGCCATGACCGCTGAGCCTGCGCGTCCAGAGCCTGTGCTCTGCAACGGGAGAGGCCACAATAGTGAGAGGCCCGCGTACCGCAAAAAAAAAAAAAAAAAAAAAGAATCCACCTGCCAATGCAGGGGACATGTGTTCGATCCCTGGTCTGGGAAGATCCCACATGCTGCGGAGCAACTAAGCCCGTGTGCCACAACTACTAAGCCTGTGAGCCACAACTACTGAAGCCCATGTACCCTAGAGCCCATGCACCACAACTGCTGAGCCCGCATGCTGCAACTACTGAGCCCACGTGCTGCAACTACCAAAGTCCACGTGCCTAGAGCCCGTGCTCTGCAGCAAGCGAAGCCACCACAGTGAGAAGCCTGTGCACTGCAACGAAGAGTAGCCCCTGCTTGCCACAACTAGAGAAAGCCCATGTGTAGCCATGAAGACCCAATGCAGCCAAAAATAAATTTAAAATTAAAAAAAAAAGTAAACAGGAGCAAGTTACAAAAAAAAAAAAAAAAAAGAAGTTAGCAGTCCTTATTCTTCATCATCATTATTACCCAGGACCCAGGCCAGGAGCTCCTCCTCCTCCAGAAAGCCTTCCTGGCCTGCTCTGGCCCCGGGACCTCTGTAGCCCACCTTAGAAACCCTCTATTCTGACCACTTAAACATAATAACAGTGTGGCTTAGCCAGCTACTCTGTGCCACGTGTTTTCTGTTATCTCATCTCATTTAAGCCTCACAGCACTTCTGTGAGGCAGGAGGATGATCTTTTTACCAAGAGGACATCGAGACCTCTGGCAGCCAAAGAGTTTGCACAGGGCCCAGAGCAGAGGGGTTGGGTGTGGCCAGAGCCCAGGGGGTGAGGATGGGAGGTCACAGTGCCCTAGGGAGCCACTGCTGTTTGCAGTGAGAAGGGGGTGAGTGGGGTGGGTTCCCCATTTTGCAAAGCTCACTCACCGTGGCTAATGGGGGGATGTCACTGACATGGGGGAGGAGTGGATGGGGATGATGGTGCCTTCTGGTGTCTGGGGCATCTGGAAGTCATTGAGGGCATCTGGTGTCCCGAATCTTGAGGGACCTGTGGCAGATCTCTCACCCTCCCTGGGCCTCAGTTTCCCCACCCATACCCTGTGCTGGGGCTACCCATGGGTGAGCTGCTGTAGGGCACCACTGCCCTCATGGACAGTCACAGCTCCTGCCTGTGTGAGGGCCAGCTGCTCCCGTGTTTGGTCCAAGCCAGGCTGGGGGAGGGCAGGCAAGCACCACGGCCACAGGGAGACCCGCAGGCTCACTGCCCTCCAAGGGTGATGGGGACGAGGGAGCCTGCCCTGGCTGTCCTGGGGCCTCAGGGCACAGGGTCCAGCGGTACAGTAGTGAGGGCCGCAGACCTCAGGACCATTCCCCGGGCCCTCCACGAGACCATCTCCTGGGGTGATGGAGCGAGCACTGGGCCAGGGGTCCGGAGACCTAGGTGTGCCCAGGTGGGCTCTCTGGGCCCCAGGGCACACCTAGGTATGCCGTGGTTCCCACCATACACCTGGGAGGATGGTGGGCCTCATGGGCGCCCCCACTCTGAATATTTCGTTGCAGGCCGTGAGCGCATTGGGCAGGACTCAGCGTACGAGCAGGAGGGGAAGGTGCAGTTTGTGATTGATGCCGTGTACGCCATGGGCCACGCGCTGCACGCCATGCACCGTGACCTGTGTCCGGGCCGCGTGGGGCTCTGCCCGCGCATGGACCCTGTGGACGGCACCCAGTTGCTCAAGTACATCCGCAGCGTCAATTTCTCAGGTGGGGGCACCACCCAACCCTGGGGAAAGGGTCCTGGGGCTCCATGGGGTGGGAGTGCGCGGGGGTCTCTTCAGATGCTTCCAAGGGGTTCCATACAGAGGTATCTCTGCCCTGGGCTCACGATCCTTCCTGACTCTGGGTGAAGGCTCAGCAAAGAAGCTGAGCGTGTGACCCCCACGGGCTCCCGCAGGCATCGCGGGGAACCCTGTGACCTTCAATGAGAACGGAGACGCACCTGGGCGCTATGACATCTACCAGTACCAGCTGCGCAACGGCTCTGCCGAGTACAAGGTCATCGGCTCCTGGACTGACCACCTGCACCTCAGAGTAAGCACCTGGCGGGAGGGCAGCGAGGGGTCCCGGGGGGCTGGGCGGCGGAGAGAGGCCACCCCAACCCAGGGAGGGGAGGCCAAGGGGAGGCAGCCGCTGACTAGCCCTGCCCCCCGGGTTTGCTGCTGCCAAGTTGGGGCCTCCTTCCATGCCCCACCCTAGACCTCAGAGGGCCCTGAGCCCCCCAACCCTGAAACAGAAGAACAGGGTGGCTGGGCTTCTGCTGCCATTCCTGCCCCTGCCCTTTCCCTTGGCCTGGGGTCTTCTTGCCTGCTGCCCCTTCGCAGGGCAAGAACTCCGGATAGATGAAGTCACGCTGGAGTTCAGGGGCTCAAAGTTTTGGGGGGGTTCGGCGGGGAGAGAAGTGAGGAAGGGGAGGGCGGTGTCTGGACAGAGGAGGACGACGTCTTAAGGCAAAGAGCACAGCCTGCTGTTCTCTAAGCATGAACTCTCCTAAGAGCCACTTTTTTTTTTGCGGTACGCGGGCCTCTCACTGTTGTGGCCTCTCCCGTTGCGGAGCACAGGCTCCGGACGCGCAGGCTCAGCGGCCATGGTTCACGGGCCCAGCCGCTCCACGGCATGTGGGATCCTCCCGGACCGGGGCACGAACCCGTGTCCCCTGCATCGGCGGGTGGACTCCCAACCACTGCGCCACCAGGGGAGCCCAGAGCCACTTATTTAGAACTGATGCTTTGAATACGGCTCCCAAGTGTAGTCAGGCTCCCTTTGCCCAGTTCCTGGAGCTCTCGCTTACTTTCCAGAACTTTGCGACACATTCAGTAGGACGTGCCAGCTTCTATCGCCTCTTAGCTTGCAGCAGTTGTGTCTTCAGAGACATGTAACAGTGACTAGCACTCATTTAGAGCAAGATGCGAAGGAACGCTAACCTGTGGGCACACATTAGTGGTCCTGTGATTGAATCTTTATTCGTTGTCCTCTTCTGAACCCAAGTCCCTGTGCTGCCTGGAGGAGGCCCGGTGGGCTGAGCCATAGCACGTTTCTTCTTGAGGGTGCACAGGAGTCACCTGCGGGGTCTTGTTGAAACTCAGATTCTGTGTCAGTGGGTCTGGGGTGGACCAAAAATTTCCATTTCCAACAAGCTCCTGGGTGATGCTGATGTGGCCGGTCTGGGGGCCACTTTGCATAGCAAGGCCTCATGGGGCTGGGAGTCGGGACTGCTGGGTCCTCTCCACTCTGCCATGTGACCCTAGGTTTTCACTGCCGGTCTCTGGGCGTTTCTCCATACGACCCTTGGGAGTTTTGTATTCGAGCAGGATCCCCCATGGTCAGCTGGGTCTGGATCCTGCCCCGGGGAGCTTATTTAAATGCGGCTGTTGGATTCAGCTGATCCTGGCAGGGCCCGGGCAGCTGGATTTTACCCATCTAACTAAAGTCACTAACTAAGTGATTCAGATTGGTGCCACCAGTGGGGCGGTCCAGGGCACTTGGCAGCATGTCCTGAGGCCCTCTCCTCTGCACTGTTGTTGCCAGATAGAGCGGATGCACTGGCCAGGGAGCGGGCAGCAGCTGCCCCGCTCCATCTGCAGCCTGCCCTGTCAGCCAGGTGAGCGGAAGAAGACGGTGAAGGGCATGCCCTGCTGCTGGCACTGCGAGCCCTGCACGGGGTACCAGTACCAGGTGGACCGCTACACCTGCAAGACATGTCCCTACGACATGCGGCCCACAGAGAACCGCACGGGCTGCCAGCCCATCCCCATCATCAAGCTTGAGTGGGACTCACCCTGGGCCGTGCTGCCCCTCTTCCTGGCTGTGGTGGGCATCGCTGCCACGCTCTTCGTGGTGGTCACCTTCGTGCGCTACAACGACACGCCCATTGTCAAGGCCTCGGGCCGCGAGCTGAGCTACGTGCTGCTGGCGGGCATCTTCCTGTGCTACGCCACCACCTTCCTCATGATCGCCGAGCCCGACCTGGGTACCTGCTCTCTGCGCCGGATCTTCCTGGGGCTCGGCATGAGCATCAGCTATGCGGCCCTGCTCACCAAGACCAACCGCATCTATCGCATCTTCGAGCAGGGCAAGCGGTCGGTCAGCGCCCCGCGCTTCATCAGCCCCGCCTCGCAGCTGGCCATAACCTTCAGCCTCATCTCCCTGCAGCTGCTGGGCATCTGCGTGTGGTTTGTAGTGGACCCCTCCCATTCGGTGGTGGACTTCCAGGACCAGCGGACGCTCGACCCCCGCTTCGCCAGGGGCGTGCTCAAGTGCGACATCTCGGACCTGTCGCTCATCTGCCTGCTGGGCTACAGCATGCTGCTCATGGTCACGTGCACCGTGTACGCCATCAAGACGCGCGGAGTGCCTGAGACCTTCAATGAGGCCAAGCCCATCGGCTTCACCATGTACACCACCTGCATCGTCTGGCTCGCCTTTATCCCCATCTTCTTTGGTACCTCGCAGTCGGCTGACAAGGTGAGTGGCAGGGGCTGGGGGTGGGTGAGGGAGGCAAGCAGGGGGCAGCCTCCTGGGGCTAGCTGGCCTCTCACCTTGCTCTGGAAGTGCCTTCATTCGTGCCTCATTCTGTCTTCTCTCTGTCTCAGTTTTCTCTCCAGGTTCTGGGTTTCTCTCCTCTCTCTCTCCCTTTCTCTTCTCCTGCCTCCTCTCCCGTTTCTCTCCGGCCCCCACCACCTTCCGCTGCCTCATCTCTCTCCTTCCTGCTGCTTCCCACCCTCTCTCTACCCTCCGCCTCTCCTCTCTCCCTCTCCTCTCTCTTTCCCTATCTCTCCATCCCTGCCTCTCCCGCCCCACCTTTTTCCCCTCCCCATCTCCTTCCCACCTTCCTCTCTCCTCTCTGCCAGCCTGGGATGCTGCCCCCGCTTTCATTCTTGTTTTTAGCTGCGCCACGTGGCTTGTGGGATCTTAGTTCCCTGACCAGGGATCAAACCCCGGGCCCTCGGCAGTGAGAGCGTGGAGTCCTAACCACTGGACCGCCAGGGAATTCCCCATTCTTCTCTATACTCTCCCTTACCTCTCTCCCTACTCAGCCCATCTTCCTTCCTGTCCACTCCTCTTTTCTTCCTCCTCTCTCCACCCTCTTCTCTGCCCTTGCAGGATCCCCATGGGTCCCCGAGGTGGGTGATGTATTGGGCACTCGCTCCCTCTCTCCCTGGCCCCAAGCCACCCCGGAGGCCAGGTGGGGATACGTGGCAGCATCAGCTGAGGGTCCACCCTCCACTGGCTGGAGCTGCCGATGAGCTGCCTCTTGGGGGCTCTGTCAGGCTATCCTGCCAGCCTGGCCTGAGGGTCTAGATACACCCCAAGGGCCCCGTGGACTCTGCCCACATCACTGCCCCAGTGCTGCCTGGGTGCTGGGGGGTTTTATCTTGAAGGATTGGGAGTCACTGAAGTCAGAGGCCAGAGATAGGGAGAATCAGAGGGACTGAGGACCCCAGCTCTGTGTCTAACTGTGGGGTCCTGGGCAAGCCAGCTGGCCTCTCTGCTTCAGTCTCTTCATCAACAGATTGGGGCCATGACCCTTCCCCTGCAGTCCTTACAGTTGTTGTAGCAATCACACAACATGAGGGGTGTAAAAGCCATTTACCCGCCATAAGGAGGCTGGGGCTGGGAAGGAGGGTGGAGGGGACGAGGTCAAGGGGCACACAGAGCAGATGGTGTAGGACCCACAGGCTGTGGGCTTTTACCGGGAGTGAGAAGTGAGCCACGGTGGGGTTCTGAGCAGGGAGGGATGCGTTGGGACATAGGTTTAAAAGGATCCCTCTGGCTGCTGGGTGGAGCCCTGCTGGAGGTGGTTGTAATGATCCCGAAGGGAGCTGCTGGCAGCAGGAGTGGTGAGGTGCGGGGGATTCCTGCTGTGTCAGGGGGTGGGGCTGGCTGGGTTTCCGATGGAGTGCGTGTGGGATGAGAGGCGCAGGGGGGAGTCAGGATGACTCCACAGTCGTTGGTGTGAGCGATGGGAAGGAAAGAGTGTCTGCATTGGGGTGGGGGGGCGGTGCAGGGCGGGGTAGAGACGGCAGCGGAGCCTATAGGGGGCGGAGATCCGGAAGTCCTCTGGAGGTGCTGAGTTTGGGATGCCCGTGAGACGTCCAAGTGCAGCTGTTGAGTCAGTGGTTGACTATGTGAGTCTGGGGTTCAGGGACGAGGGCTGGGTCATATCTGTACCTGGGGGAGTCGCCATCCTGTGGCCAGCACTTAAAAGAGTGAGCCTGGGTGTGAGCTCCAATAGAGATGCTTGGCCTCAGTGAGGCAGCAGTCAAAGCAACCACGGAGGGAGGCTTGTCTTGTGTTACGCACTTCACCTGGTGGTCAGCAGGCACCACAACAGTGAGCTAGGGTAGATTCACCATCCCTGTTTACAGATGAGCACGTGGAGGCACAGAGAGGTGAAGTGACTTGTCTAAGGTCACACAGCCAGTAGGAGGCATGGCCGGACTACTTGAACCTACTCTGTCTAACTCAGGAGCCCCTCCCAAGCCCACACCACTCCCTGCAGCTCTGGGGCACCTCTCCCCCTGGGCCTTCCTTGGTAGGTGCCCACCCCTTCTCTAGCAGCTCCTCAAGTGCAGGAGCTGCGCCCTCCACCCCAAATCCCTTGGGTCTGGTGCAGAGAGGCCTGTGGCCTGTCTTCCAATGGTGACCCAGCAGACTGGGGGTTCTGAGAAGCAGACCTTGAGGCTGGCAGTGAGCTCCCCGAGGTCTGAGACCAGACCTGGCTCCAGGCCACCCTGCACACTTGAGCCAAAGCCACCGCCACTGAGGAACAGCTCGCACGGTGGGCTGGGTCTCCAACCCCAGCAGGCCAGCGAGAGGCCTTCCCCACTGAGGGCAGGTGCAGGCAGAGGCCCGCATGCCCCGCAGCGCCCAGGGGAGGCCGCCCACGCCCCAGGAAGCTGGCAGCTTGAGACATTACCCTCAACAATCCCAGGAGGCCCCTTCCCTCGCCTCCTCAGGGTGTAAAGGTGCACAGCCAGGTGGCCGACAGCATGGTGGTTCAGGCCCTTGCTCTGCCTTCCCATAACTTCCCCTGTCTGTCTGCCAGCACGCTGCTCCCAGTACGGTCCCTGTCATCCTGGTACCAGACCCTCCCACCTCCAGGTGCTGGGGCCCAGCCCCCATCTCGGCACCCTCCCCCCATCTCTCCAGGCCACCCCACCTGCCTCTGATTTCTCCCTTTTTGGAGGCTCCTCTCAGTACAGATTATGAAAAGGAGCCTCTGAGATGATCTCCTCTGAGGCCCAGAGAGGGCGAGGGACCTGCCCAGGGTCGCAAAGCAGGCTGGCCCACACCAGCGTATGGTCCTGAGACCCAGCTCTGCCCCTGATGGCGTCAACATGGGATACGCCTCCTCCTTCTCTGGGCTTCTGAATGAGGCGAGGGTGGGGAGGGGAGCTCTGAAGTCCCTCCAGTTCAGACCACCAGGCTTCTTAGAGGCTCAGGCAACCCTGGAGCTCTATCTGTGCTGTGTCATGTCTGAGCTACAAACAGCCCCAGTGACTGCCGGGTCCTGGGTGCTAGTGTGTGTGTGTGTGTGTGTGTGTGTGTGTGTGTGTGTGTGTGTGTAGATGGAGTGGAGTGGGGCTACTATGGGGAGTTGTGTTATGGGTACAGAAGTGTGTGTGTACAGAATGTGTGTGTGCCTTTCTGTGCACATTGAGCAGTGGATGGGCAGTGTGTGTGTGTGTGTGTGTGTGTGTGTGTGCAGATTGAGTGGGGATGGACAGGTGTGCACTGAGGGCTCATGGCTGCTAGGATGTATTTGGGTGTGCAGATTAAGTGTGCGTGCTCAGCAGTGTATGTGCAGATGTTTGAGTGTAGGTGTGTGTGTGCACAGGTGTATGTGTGTGTTCAAGTATGTGTGCAGGTGTGTTGAGTGCATCTGTGTGTGTGCACACGTGTGTGTACCCAGGTACATGAAGGGGTGTGTGTGTGTGAGAGCCCAGGTGTATCTGAGTCAGGTAGGAGTGTGCGGCTGTGAGTTCAGGGGTGTGTGTGTGAATGCAGAGTCGCATGGGTACATAAGTGTGGATTTGTGAGTATCTATGCGTGCCCTGGTGTGTGCGCACGCGTACTTGCAACCCCGCCTGTCCCTCAGGCTGCAGGTGGCGCCGAGTGAAGCTGTCCATGTTGCTCTGGTGAGCAGGTGACCGGATCTCCCACGTTGGCCTGGATTTCCAGGGCTCACCTGCGTAGCCGCGTGCCATTACCCTGAGCTGACTGGGGCATCGTCTCTCCACTGGTTGGGGTAACTGCTCAGCCAGGCTGGGGCGGGCCGTGGCCTCAGAGGCCGGCCAGGTTGTGGGGAAGGTCATTTGTCTGGTTTGTTAGACTGAGGATCTCAGGACCCACCAGGGTCAGCCTGGGCAGAAACACGAAGCAGGCGGACTCCTCCGTGCCCCCCACCAGACCGAGCACAAAACAGGAACTTCATTGTCCACCTCCACAGCAGCTCCTTTCTTTGCCTTTTGCCCCACCCCAGGTGACCTCTGTCCTCTTCCATCAAACCCAGCTCTGACAACCTGCTTCACTCTGGGGAGCAGTGACTCATGAGGCTAAGGCAGGATTCCTTGCAGAGGACGGAGTGTAGCAAGGGCCTGACCAAAGTCAAAGAGGGGAGCAGGAAGGGTGGCAGTTCAGGCTGGAGGATGGGTGGATGGGAGAGAAGGTGAAATCACATCCTGGAAGAAGAGAGAAGGTAAAATCACATCCTGGAAGCCGCCTCTTACTCTGCCTCCGTGCGAGACCTGCATCCGTGCGAGACCTGCATCCGCGCCTGGGCCCCATTCCTGTAGGCTAGAGGTTCCAGAGGACCGCTGCTTCTCTGACAGGGTTAACACACTACCACCTCCTGGTGATGACATGCACCTTCACCCCGGGGGTCCCCAGAACAATGCTGGAGCCAGTGGTGGGGTGAGAACTCCAGACCCTGGGGCAAGGAGAGGGGCTGGGGGTGCGCAGCCCCACTTCTGTGCACAGGGCCAGCCGCCCCCAGCCTGGGCATGGCTAGAGAAGCCCCCAGGGCCCATGCTGGCGGGGAGGGGCCCCAGCGGGGGGGGGGGCAGCTTTGTCCAAGTTTGATCTCTTTACACCCCTCCTTGTATTTTGTGTGCAGAAAGGCTCCTAGGCTGAAAAACAGATTAGAACAGAACACCGAGGCCTGTGCTCGGGGCTGGCTCCATAGTTTTCAGGGACAGGAGCCAAATGAAAACGAAGGCCCCTTGTTCAAAAATTATTCAGTATTCAAGCTGGCGGCCGCAAGGTGTTAAACCGAGTGTGCGTGCCCATGGAGCGAACTCTGCCTATATTAGTGGAGGGGGCTCAGCATCCCTCAGTGTGTCAGGGCAGAGTGAAATCTGGAGCCCAGCCCCCTGACCCCCATATAGGGCTGTGTCCACTGCAGGCCTCACTCTGCCCAGAGAGGGTACTTGACCCCTGTCCCACCATCCCCATATTGGCCCAACCATACCTCCTTCCCATCAACAAGTTGGGGGCAAAAGACCTAAGACGGATATCTGCCCTGGAAATACACCCTTATACTCAAGAACCCCCAGTGTAAAAGGAGAGACACCCCTGCCCTCAGGAAACCCCCAGTCTAATGAGGGAGACACATTTGTCCCCACGGGACCCCCAGTCAATAGTGAAGACCCAGATAACAAGCCCATTCTTGCTTAGCCCAGATTTCCACTGTCTTCTCCAAGGGTCTGTTATGATATTCTGGAGACTGTCCCCCTTCACTCCTTCCGCCCTGGCCCCCAGTGCCATCCAGGGGGTGGGAGAGGTGGCCAGCACCCTCCTACTGGCTTGTCATGACCTCTCCCGGTCCACATGCCAGGCGGCAGCACTGTGCTTGTTGGTGAGAGTGTGGGTTGCGTGTGAGGACAGAGGGGTGTGTGCTCACTAGGAAACAAGCTCTCATTTCCCCAGGCCTGTGACATTTTCTGAATGGTGGCAAATGAAACAGCCTCTCTACACTCCCAGCCTCCTTCCCCCACACCCCGCTCTGGTGCCCTGTAAGTTTCATGTGGCCTCACAGTCTGCACTTGGGTAGCCTCATGGTTTGGGTGAGGTAGGTGCTATTATCCCATTGTGCTGTTGAGAAAACTGAGGGCCGGAGAGGGGATGAGACTTCCTCAGTGTCACACACCTCTCTCCTCTCAGACCCTAGAGCTTCTCCAGCCCCTCTCCCAAAGGAGACCCGGGGAAGGGTGGCTGGGATGAAGGCCTTCAGATCCAGGTCATGAGGTATTTATGAGAGGGGCGAGAGATGGGGAGGAATGTGAGAATGGGAGGACCTGGCCCCTCCTTTCGGGAGACTTCCAGATGAGCTCAGGGCTCCTGTGACCTCAGGAGGCAAGTCCAGACCTCGGTCCCCCACTTCTGGGCTGGGTGCAAGGAGTGAAGGCTATCATGGGGGATTGGCTAGAGCTGAGAGTCAGAGAGAGCTTCCTGGAGGAGGTGGTACATTAGCCAGGCCCCAGGGGAGGGGCCCAGGCCAGGAAACGGCAGATCTGGGGGCAGAGCATTTCCTGCTTTCCCATACCCAGACCTGGGGGCCACAGCCTGGGCTTCCCCGGGCCCCACCCTGGCTGAGGGGGCCAGAGGGGCAGCTGAGGCCTGGAGGACCCGGAGGGAGGGAGGAGGTGGGGAGGGCATCCCAGGCGAGGGCGGTGGGAATTGTCGGGCCCTGGCTGGAAGGCCCCACCATTGAAGAATGGATTACCCGACACCCAGATTAATGGACTTTCATTTTGCTAAACATCTTGTCAACGTTAGTGCTGGTGAGCGAGCGTGAAATGAGCCTTGACTGGGCTGCCGCCAGTGGATCACCATCAGGCCACAGCTCCTGTGCCAGCGGCCTGCTCTGCACAGGGTGGCATGGGGGGGGCAGTCACTGAATGGGGGGCCTGGTCGAGGGGCTGTACCATGGCCACTGGGAATTACTACAAGGCACCGACGGATGTTCATCTCACTCCCAGCCCTGTGCAGGGGGCGCTGCCCCCAAGGAGGGTCAGCTGTCCCCTGAGGGCCCCTCCCCAGGGGCCTCTACCCAATAGCACATAACAGTGGTGAACACGTCTGTGCACTGACCATGTGCCAAATATTATTTTACATGTTTTTGCCATTTATTAAGTCATTTCAAACTCACAACAGCCCTATGAGGAAAGGGCTAGAATTATGCCCATATTATACCCGAGGAGACTGAGGCCCAAGGATGTGACTTGTCCCAGACCACACAGTGACAGTGGTGAGCCCGGCTGAATCCAGGGATTCTGGTCTAAAGTCCCAGCTCTATACCACAACTCCCTTCTGCCCGAGGCCAGCGGGACACAGGGCGGTCCCCGGGTTTGTACCCCACTGTGTCTGTCTAGGGCGTGGGCTTCAGACAGGGCCCCCGAGAGGCCGGGGTTGGAGCCCGCCCTGACACCGCCCCCGGCCCGCCCCCAGCTGTACATCCAGACGACGACGCTGACGGTCTCGGTGAGTCTGAGCGCCTCGGTGTCCCTGGGGATGCTCTACATGCCCAAGGTCTACATCATCCTCTTCCACCCGGAGCAGAACGTGCCCAAGCGCAAGCGCAGCCTCAAAGCCGTCGTCACCGCCGCCACCATGTCCAACAAGTTCACGCAGAAGGGCAGCTTCCGGCCCAACGGCGAGGCCAAGTCCGAGCTCTGCGAGAACCTGGAAGCTCCAGGTGAGTGCCTGGCTCTGCCCCTCTCCCCCTGGGCCCGCCCAGGCCCCGTCCCCTTCCTGGAGAAGGTCAGCCCCCCCCACCCCCAAGTCTGGACCAATGAGGGCACTGGGAGAGCCCTGAGGCCGCAGGTGAGCCATCCCCACCCAGAGGAGAGGCTTGAGGCTCTAGCTTAGCCCCCTCTGCCCCACTCTGTCCGGGTAATGGGGTCTCTCCAGGTCCCGCTCCACACACCCCCTGCTCCACTCTAGCCTCTCCTTTCCAGGGATCCCTGCCTACCTAGGGAGGGGGGGGGGGTGGGGGGGGCCTCGGTTCAGGCAGAGTGACCTGAGGCTTCAGGATTTCTCTGCCCTGGAGTCCACATCTGGGCCTGTGCCCTTTCAGTCTCCCTGGGGAAGGGATTGTCTGGAGGGCCACTGCTCTGGGGCCCTTTGGTAACCTGGGAGCTGTGGCCCTGGTGCCAGAGCAGTTGAAACCCCTCGGCTTGGCTTTGCCCAGCCGCCCCCTGGCAGGGCCCTGAGAGATAGGGACTCAGGATACGGGCCCTGGGATGGGTAAGTAAGGGCTGGGGCCGGGAGGAGGGCCCGCAGAGCTGTGGTTCTCAGGGGGGTGTCCAAGGAGACCTCAGCTGTAGAGGGTTGTGCTTTGACAGGGTTGGGGGAGGATGTGGGACCCTTAGCATCTGAGGGGCAGACCCAAAGCCTGTGCAGGACTTGGTCCCTCAGTGGTTATGGGATGTGTACAGGAGGGAGCAGGGCTACCATCTTTGCTTACTTTCCTGTGCCCCCTGGAGCCAGCCCACAGTGTGACAAGAAGGGACAGAGAGGAGAGAGGGGCAGGGCATGTGAGGGGCAGGTTAGGCCTTGGGGGACCAGTAACAGTGGTGACCATTTCTTGAACCCCAACTGTGGGCCACACCTACCAGGAACCAGTTTTCATTTTCACAGCAACCTTGAAAGCAGTGATTTTTAATTATTTGCTGCTACAGGTGAGGAAAGGGAGGCTCAGAAAGGTGAGGGACTCACCCAGGCCACACAGCAGCAGGTGGTATCCCCGCTGCCTCTGAGCGGAGACCGAGGCCTCCAGACTGTGGGCTGGGCCTCCATGGGCCTGGCTTCTGGTTGCTCCCAGGTAGACAGGGTTGAGGGGTTGCTATGGTCACCCTGCCCCACTGCACACCTGACTCCCTCCCTGGACACCCTGTAAGTGTCCAAATGGTTAACATGGCAGCTCCTGCTGCCTCCCCGCTCTCTGATAGTCTTGGGGGGCTTCCGTTGGTGGGGGAGGAGGAGAAGAGCCCCTCTCCCCAGGAGAGTTTCAGATCCTGGTGGCACCTGGGGTTAGCACTCTGCTTTCTCCCTCTAGTACTGGGGGAAAGGCCAGAAGTGGACATTGTTGGTGGCAGCAGGAGGGACATTGGTGAACATAGGCTCCAGAGAGGAGCCCCTTTGTCACCCACCAAGAGATCAGGAGAAACAGGAGACCTCCCCTCGCAGGTGTGTTTGGACTGGGACAGCCCCTCTTACAGGCTCCCCGCGCTGGGGCTCTGGGTGAAGCATCTTCCATTCTCAACATCATTCCCACGTGTAGAAGGAGTATCAGCCGTGGAAAGGAGGAAGGTAGCTTCCCACATCCAAACAGGATTTTTCACTTCCCAGAGCTCTCTCCCCTGTGAGTGATCTTCACAGCAGTCCTGTGAGGCCCGGATTGGGCTGGATCCCCAGCTGAGGCCCAGAGAGGGTGAGTGACTCTCCTGAAGTCACAGAGCAAGGTGGTGGCTGGCTGGCCCCACCCAGTGTCTTTCCCTTGGCCCTGACTTCATATGGCCTCCCGCAGTGCACCTGGCTTCCAGCACCACCCCCCCACTTTGACGGACACCCCTGATGACTCTGTTGGCCACACCCTCCACCAGATGACATCTGGTTCTCTCCAGTCCTGCTCTTCCTCCCAGAGCACCAGCTTCCCTGTACCTATGGCCTGGGGCTCCCTTCAGATGCCAGGTGGGCCCTCTACTTGCGACGGGAAGGGGCAGTGTCTTTGTGGGCCTCCCCATCTCTGGCCTTTCTCGTCCACGCAGATGTGCAGAAACCCCCACTGCCGCCCCTGACCAGGCCCTTCTATCCTAGGCACGGACCCCTCGCCACTCCCTGCCCCAAGCTCCTGACTTAGATTTCCTCCTTCCCACGGAGACTCGCCCTTGCTGGGTCCCATCCCTCCAGGCCCTACTCTGCTCCAGGGCTTATGAGACTGAGTGGGACATCAGCCCTCTGGAGACCATGGGTATCTAACAGGAGATAGCACCCTGACCCCAGAGGGTGGCCCTCATGGTGCTGTGACAGGCCAGAGGGTACCACAGGGACAGGGCTGTCACAGAGAGCACTGATGTCGCCTCACTGACACTGTTGCCTCTGCCTCTGCTCAGACTGGTCACCTGGGGACAGGGGACAAGGAGGGGTGTGCAGGCATGGCGAGGGGAGACCCAGCCTTCCCAGCCCCTGCTTCCTGTGAGGGAAGGGTGAGAGCTGCCCCTCCCCATGGCCCCCTGCACTGAGGACCAGAGGCCAGTGCCCCTTGCCCCCACCGTCTCAGCTCGGTGACAACAGGGGCCGTGGAGGCGCTGGGCAGGAGCTGGGTGATTAACTCTGGGAACAGCCAGATGGAGGGGGTGTGAGCGGGAGGTGCGGGGAGGTGTCACTCCCGTGGAGCAGGGACATTTTTCACTCTGTCCCTGGCAGGCCACGTATCTTTAAACAAACAACAGAATAAATAATTCAGGGACGCGATTGCAGGCAGATTAGGCAAGGAAACATGGGGCCGACAAATGGGGGCTGACAGCTCGTGCCTGCCGCTGCCCAGCTAATTGTTATCTGAGGCGGTGGGGACTGAAAGCCAGCAGCCAGGGCCTGTCATCGGTGAGGGATGGATTGGGGCCCTCTGCCCACACCCTCCCCCCTCCCCCCATGCTGAGGCTGCCCCTGGAGTGTCGCTGTCCCCATCCTGTCCTCATCACTATGGTTATTCAGCCCTGCCCCTTCGCCTACCATTTTGCAGGGTTTAGAGAGTATTTCTATCCATGCCGTGGCTGAGAGCGGCTAAGGGTTTATGATCACCCCATCTTACATGAGCGAGTTGAGGCTCCAAGAGGTTCAATTTGTTAGAAAGGCTGCGTGGCAGGTGCTGAGATCCCCTACACCAGTGAGGGCAGGGTTGGACCTCAAGTGTCCTGACTCTTGGCCAGAACTCTTCCTTTTGAGCCTCACAGCTCCTGGGGGCCCCGGGCAGAATCATTGCTCCCATTTTCCAGACGGTCAGACTGAGGCTCTGCTGAAGGACTCTGGGGCTCCTAGCTTATAGCTGAGGGCCCAATGTGCTTCTAGGTTCTGAAACCTACAGATTGGGTTTTCTAGAGGAGGCACCTCTGGTGTTTCAGGGAGAAGAGGGGCCCAGCTGTCCCTCACCTCCCCGCCACTTTCTCTTGTCCCTACCGCTCTCGGTGCCGCTATGGCCACCCTCAGGCTCCCGTTTCCCTGCAGTCAGTGGAGATTTTGCCGCTGTTGTTGCTGAGGTTTTCCTTCACCTCTGAGCCAGGAGCTGCTGACAGGTTTACAGGTTTAGAAACTCAATAATTATCAGTTCACCCAAGGGGTGATGGAGCCCTGGGGAATTGATTCTCACCAGCCTGGCCTGCGGGTTCGTGATTCACAGAGCCAGCTGCCAGCCCTTTTTCTGGTGGTGCGGGAGAGAGTGGGGTGGAGAGGTGGGGGTGGCCAAAGCCCCACAGGAAAAGAAGTCTAGGCACAAAGGGCTACTCCCCTCCTGCTACTGGCAGGGAGACCACAGCCTCGCAGGGCAGGGGAGGAGCTGCTTGAAGTCACAGAGAGAGGCTGAGGCCCTGGTCTCCAGAGGCTGATCTGCGCTGGCCTCCCACCTTCCGCCTCCTTTTCAGCACCTTCTGCCACCCCCAGGTCCCAGCCTCCTGTCGCTCAGCTCTCTTCCCCTGGTGCCCCCCAGCCCAGGCCCCTCCTTAATGGTGCCCGGTCTGTGCTCCTTCTCCCCTCTTGGTCCTCCAGCATCCTGGAGGGACCTGGGCCATTTTAGAAATGAAGGTGGGCATTCTTCACAAACTGTAAGGCGCTGTGCTGTGTTCTTAATGTTGTCTTGTGTGTCATGGGCACCATTTCCTTCCAGTAGCACCTGTCCAGATGGCACCTAAAACGTGAAACTTGCCTGCCCAGTGATTGTTCCTCTTCCGCTTGAATATTTCTGCTGACAGGGAACATTTCAGCTCACCTACCGCACAAAGCGACCCACTCCACTCTCAGCTCAGGCCAGGAGAGAGTTCTTCCTTTAGCTGAGCTGCACTCTGACCCTCATGCCTCCGCACTGGTCCCATGGTGTCCCCTCTGCTCACCCCACCCCGGCAACTTTGCTTCTTCCCACAATCGGGGGACCCTCTGAGAGGGTGACACAGCAGTCCTACCTGTATGAGTGGGCTTCTAGTTAACGCTGGTGTGACAAAGAGGCCCCAGGACAGAGTGGCTCAAATCAGACAGATGTTTGTTTCTTTCTGATATCGTAGTGCATGGGGGATGGGCAGGTGCAGGGAGGGACCCGGGTTCCTTCCATTTTGTCATTTCATCAGCTCCGAGAGGGTTGTCCTCATCATCATGGCCGAGGCTGGTTGACCTCATATGTCTGTTCTGGCCCTGGAAGGGAAAAGAGAGGAAGTACAGGGGAAACAGTCTATTTTAATCAGATGACATGGAAGCTGCACACGGCCCTTGACACTTGTCATTAACAGGAATGTAGTCACACAGGGGCACGTGGGGCTGCAAGGGAGTCTGGGAAATGCGGTCCTTAACTTGGCAGTGAAAAATGGGGAAAGAGGGTTGGGGGTGGTCAGCGTGCAGCCCACCACACTGCTCCCCTCCATGTCACCTTCTCCAGGCAGACACCCCTGGCTGCACCTGGCAGATGTGCCCTCTTTTCTGAGCTGTCAGGATCCTGATGGAGTCAAGGCAGTTTTATGGCCAAGGGCACCAGGGCTTTCCCCCGTCTAGTCTTCTCTCTCAGCACCAGCAGACCAGCCTCAATTACTCTCACTGAGCTGTCCCCAGGCCACAGAGGGAGACCCTGAACCCTGGCAGGACAGGTCAAAAACCAGGACCTGGCTGGACTCCTCACCCCTCTGGCCTCAGCTCCTCAATTGTTAAATGGGGGTGCTGCTTATCTGGCCTTCTTGCGAGGCTGCCGTGAGGCGCGAACCCCGGCGGGGTGGAGGTGGGGGCACTCGTGCTGCCCAGGGGAGCTGACGTTGTCACCTGGCTGTGGTGGGGAAGGGAGACACCCAGAGAGGCAACCCTGGTCCCAGTGGGGATGAGCAGGGGCCAGGGTGTTGGGTGCAGATAAGAGAGGCTCAAGACTGAGGCGAGTCAGGACACCCAGCAATGGGAAACGTGGCTGCACGGAGGCCTGAGGGGCCCAGGAGGACTTCCGTTTCCCTTGGGCATGGGGAGAGGGCCGAATCAGTCATACGCCTCAGTTTCTAGCCTCGCAAGACCCCTCTCTGGTTCCATTATTTATCTCCTCTGTCCCTATTTTCCACTCACTTCCGCTAGGCTGCCATCTACGTATATTCTTCACACATGCTCTTCCAGAGTGTGTGTTGAACTTCTGAAAAACTCCCCCTTGATTATACTTGAAGACTGTATATCACAAATAAAAACGATTCTCTTAAAGTGTGGTGGAGTCAGGAGGTGGCAGGGACTCCGTGGGGTGTGACACTCACAGAGGGTTGGGGTCGGGAGGCAGTGCTCCTAGAGGGACAAAGTGAAGAGGGAAGGGCCCTCCCGGCCAGCAGCCCAAGTGTGGGTGTGGGTGGGATGAGTCTGGGGGAAGCGATGCGAGGGGCGGGGTGGGACCCTGCTCCGGTCTGGCGATGGGTAGGTGGGCAAGCTGCAGGCCATGGGGACACACACAGTTCAGGGGTCCGAACTTGATGCGTGGGCAGGGCCACACCCCTGTGGAAGGGGCGTTGGAAGAAGACAGTTCCTGACTCCTTCTCCCCCCGTCTCTCTCCTTCCAGCGCTGGCCACCAAACAGACCTACGTCGCCTACACCAACCATGCAATCTAGCTAGGCCACCGGAGCTGCACAGGAGGAGCAGAACAGACCCTTGTGGATGGTGCATCGGGCCAGGGCCCCCCCACCGCTGCAGGGGGGCCCAGCTGATGTCCTAACTGCCCGTGGGCACCCACGGACGTGGCTTGGTGCTGAAGATAGCACAGCCCCCAGCGGTCACTGCTGGGTTGCCTGGGCAAGCCGGGCTGGTGACAGGAGGAGGATGAGGGGCCGGGGAAGCTTCAGGCCACCCCAAGACCCTGTGTCCTGGACCAAAGCCCCTCCCAGCCCCAAACCACAGGAGGCCCCCCGTGCTGGTTTTCTCTCTCCCTCGCCTCTCTCCATCCTATTGGTGACCTTCTCAGTCTGTCTCCATCCCTGTCTTTATTTTCTCTTCTCTCTTTGTATCACCTGTTCTCTCTGTGTCTGTCTGCTTTTTCTGTATCTTCTTTCTTTCTGTCTCTGCCTTTTCTCTGCCGTCTGCAGCTTTCTCCTGTCTTTTCTCTTGTGCTCCACCTGGGTCTCTCCTCATGTGCATTTTTGTTTCCTGTCCTCAGCCCCCTCCTCACCTTCATTTACATCCAACCTTTGTTCTCTCTCCCTGCCATCTTTTCCTAATTCACCAAATCTCACATGTCACAAAAGAGAAAAAAGAAAAAAAAAAATCAAAACACAAAAAAGCCAAAACTAAAACAAATCTCGAGTGTCTTGCAAAGTGCTGCGTCCTCCTGGTGGCCTCTGTGTGTGTCCCCATGGCCCGCAGCTTGCCCACCTACCCCCGCCCATCTGCCCTGTGTCCTACCCGCCTGCCCCTCCTGCCGATGACACGGAGCTCAGTGCCTGGTGTTTGGTGATGGTTGTTGATGACAATGTGTAGCGCATGATTGTTTTTATACCAAGAACATTTCTAATAAAAGTAAACACATGGTTTTGCACCCTGGCTCCACATCCACTGAGGGTCCTGCGGTGGGACCCCCGGCTCAGCCTAAAACTGGAGAGCCTGGAGTTAGCGGGAAGGAGGAAATGGCTGATAGGGACATAGGGCTTGGGGGCAGTGGAGGCTACTCCCTGGGCTGGCATCGGGTGGGATCTTGGAGAGTCCTTGGGCAGGGAGGGGCCAGGACACTGTGGGAGGTTCCAGAAATCAGCCCCTGGTACTCCCCTAAGTAAGGGGGATGTTCTGTCCCTGTCCTCTGTCCTGCAGCCCCTAAGGAGGGTACCATTTCTGCCCTGCCTCTCCTCTGGCTCACATCCCTCATGCCTGAGCCCCACCCCCCCATCCCATAACCTGAGCCGCTCCTCCCCTTCCAGCCAGGAAACTCACCTCTTGAGAAATCGCCTTCCGGGGCTCCCAGCATCCACAGCCCTCCCCTCCTGCCTGTCCTGTCTTCAGGTCACAGGTGCTGGGATGATGTGTGACTGTCTCGGTGATGAGTGTGTGGTTCGTGGCCAGGTGGGCCAGGTGCACTGCACAGGTGTGTGTGTGTGTGTGTGTGTGTGTCTTCCCCCAGCCCTTTGCGTGTCTGTTTTATCTGTGTGTGTGTGTGCTCCTGCACCTCCATATTCAAGCTTGTTTGTCTTGTGGGACTGTCTGTTTAGGCGCACGTGGATGTGAGTCCACATCACACCCATGTCGTGAGGATGCCTATCCTGGGCAAGTCTGAGTGCATTCACAGCAGCTGGCTTCCGTGGCAGATTGGGAGATAGGGAGCGAGAGCTGCTCAGGGGCTGGGCCCTGCCAGGGGTAAATTATAGAGCCAGTAACACAATGAGACCACAGGCAGCAGCTAGAGCCCGGGCTGCCTGTGCTGTTCCTTCCTGCCGCACCCCCCGGGCCTGTACCCCTTCCACCTCCTCCGCTAACTGACAGGGGGGCGGGGCTTGGAGGGACCCGGTGGGGCAGGAGGGGACTAGGTGTGGGCATGTGTGAGAGGTGAGGCTGGGGCATTCAATCATGCCACGTGTTAGTGCCCCTCTGTCAGCCCATCTACTCCTGGGGGGGGGGGGCTGCACTTGGGAGTCCGTTCTTCCCGAGGGTCTATGTGACACACACTGTGTGTGTGTGCAGTGCCTACTGTATGCTCAGTAAATATGTGTGTAAGGGAAGGGGCAGGGAAGGAGGTCTCACACTGATCATCTTGCTTTCGAAGAATGGTCCCTGAGACTGCCACCCGGCATAGATTCTACCCAGTGCCCCAGGGTAATCAGGCAAAACTAGGGTGTCAGTCCAAGAGCGTCCTCCAGAAGCTTCCAGGGCAGTATATGTGGGGGTGGGGTGGGGAGAAGCTGGATGTAGAAGTGGAGTGGGGCCTCTGATAGCACCCCCGGCCTGGGCACCTTGTTCCCTCTCTGGTCCATGTCCCTCTACAGTGATCGCCGTGCTGGGGCCCAAGTCTAGACTGAGGGTCTGGCCTAGACTGAGGGTCTGGCATGGAACTCAAGGGTTTGACGCTCAGCCCAGGACTTTCCCATGTCCTCCACATCTGTGGAGCCCCCTTCTAGGTTCCAGGGAGAATCACCTTCCTTCCAAGGCGGTGCTGCCCCCTCTGCTCCCCTCCCTCCAAGGCCTCCTAGGGAGAGGAGGAGGCCGAGGGTCAGGCCAGGGTGGGCTCTCGGTGGGGCTTAGGCGCATCGGGCATCCCTGAGGCTTGGCTTAGTCCAGCCTGCCTGGGGCTCTGAGAAGGGGCAGGTGGGAGGGGGCGCATCCGGGCCCTGCCCTCAGGAGGCCACCAGTTGGGTGGGGGAGACAGCCCTCAGGGAGCCAAGCAGCCCAGAAATGCTGATGGTCCCAAAGAAACATAATTATGAGAATGAGTGGGTTAAGTGGGGAAGGCTGGGTCTGGTACAGAGGATAGGTGTGCAGGCTCCGTGGTCCAGAGCTGGAGAGGAGGGACAAGTCCCCAGTAGGACTTGTGGAAGTCAGGCCTGCAGCAGCAGTGTGGGACGGAAGACATCCAGGCCCGTGAGGCCAGGGCTGGGATTCCACAGGTGGGCCCAGGTGGGGCCTGCCCTGATGCACATGGTGGGGAAGACCTTCCCGGGCTAGTTGGCTGCCCATCTTTGCTCTCCATCCCATATTCTTTTTTTTTTTTTTTTTTTTTTGTTCCGAAGGCCTCTCGCTGTTGTGGCCTCTCCCGTTGCGGAGCACAGGCTCCGGACGCGCAGGCTCAGCGGCCATGGCTCACGGGCCCAGCCGCTCCGCGGCCTGTGGGATCTTCCCGGACTGGGGCACGAACCCGTGTCCCCTGCATCGGCAGGCGGACTCTCAACCACTGCGCCACCAGGGAAGCCCCATCCCATATTCTTAATTCACCAGGCTCATGGGACACCTGAGAAAGGTGGACAGATATTTGTATCTTCAGGGTTTTCTATTTCACTGAGATGGGGGGTTTGCAGTGTCCCTGGCTCCCTGGACCAAGCCGGCGGCCCCCAGAAACCTTTGCTCTGCAAGAGGGGTGATGGGGTCTCCACAGGCTCTGCTCTTACCCCTCCCCTGGGGCCTCATTCTCCAAGTGAGAGGCCCAGGGGTGAGATCAGGGGCAGACCCCATGGCTGCTCTCCTCAGGGCAGGATGAAAGGATTAGACTAGTGGAGATTTCACCCCCACCAGAACTTTTAGACTATGCGGATGTTGGGCCCTCCCCAGAAGGACTGGATCTGAGGCCCTGTGGGTGGGTTGGCACAAGTATGCTTTACAAGCTCCCCAGGAGAACGGGGGCAGTCTAGTGGGCCAGGTGAATGCACATTCCAACAACAGGACCTTAAATCAGCATCAGCATCCCTGGGAACTTGTTAGAAAATTAAATTATGGGCTTCCTCCCCACCCCCACCCCAGGGGGGCTGAACTGGAAGCTCTGGGGGTGGGTCCTTAAGTCCATTTTATAGGCCCTGCAGGTCACTTCTGTGCAAAACCAAGCTTGAGAACCACTGCCTAAGACCAACTGTGTGTTAAAAGGCCAATGTGTGAGGTTGAAATATGTTTGTGGGAGGGCAGGGGGAGGGTGGAGTTCAGGCCTAGAGTTCCTGGGGCCTGGGGAGTTCCTGGGATGCAGGACTTTCAGTGCTAAAACCAAGAGAGTCCTGGAAAAATCTAGACAAATCTGATAAGACCCTTTTCCTTATTCATTCAACAGATATCAAGTACCTACTATGAGCCAGGCCCCGGGTATGCAGTGGTGAATGAGCCAGGTGTGGTACCAGACCTTGGGGTTTCTGCAGCCAGTAGAGAAGAATGCCACTCGAGAGCTTTTTGAGGCTCAAAACCAAGACCAGGCTGCTACCTGCCCTGAGCAGGAGCCCACTGAGCTCCCAGGCTGGCTGGGCACACGGGACACCTCTGTGGAACTCCCAGGATCCTGGGGACTCAGCTTCGGAAGCAGTATCCAAGCTTGGACACCTTCCAGCTCAGATGGGCTGGTTCTGAGTTCCAGTGTCCTATGGTCAGTTTCTCCCATCCTGTCTTCTTGGGCCCTAGAGGCAGAGGAAAGGTGGCCAGGGAGTGGCCTGTTAGCACCACGCCAGGTTCCCTGCACCACTTCAGCCTCCAGGCCCAGGGAGGGGTCCTTGGGAGTCCGCAGGAGGAGGCTGCGCTTTTAGGAGGCTGTGACCCTCCCTGGCCAGAGGTCAGACCATGGACCCTTTTTTTTGATGCTCTCACTTTTTTTTGATGCTGCTCCCTCCCCGCAAGCCTGGGGTTTCCATCCAGTCCCTGAACACCGCGAGGGGAGACTGAGGGGCTCTCCCTGGCACGAGAGCCCCTCTCTACCCCTGTGCCTGCCCTGCCCTGCCCCACTGCCCCACAGGCCTTGGCCCTGGCACTCTGAGCTTCCCAGGGCTTCGACTTCCCTGCAGACACCCCAGCACCAAGTGATACACGGTGCCAAAATCTCACTTCAGTTGGCAAAAGCAGCAATTAGCATCTAATGAGGCTTCTTGCTTTATTTTTAGGTAACCTCCAAGGCCCTGCCTGTGTAATTCAGCCCGCCATTGCTCGGCAGATAATTAAAGCATGTCACCGTAATTTGCCTTTTTTTTTTTTTTATAAAGCCCATAATTAGAGGGAAAAACGCCAAAAAGAGGAGGGAAAGAAAACAAAGAGAGATTGAGTTGGGGCAGGAAATGGGGCTTGGCTACCCCAGCCAGGATCCTCTGCTCCATCGGCAGGACCAGGAGCCCCATTCTGGGAGCATGTACCCCTGGGACCTCCCTAACCTCAGAGGCTGCCCCAGGTACTTCCTGCCCAAGACTCCCCCCTTGTTGGCTGCCCTTGCTTGCACTTCTGGAGTCTTCCTCTTCCAGGTTAGGTTTGGGGGAGACGAGCTTCCTGTTCTTCCAGTTCTTTCCTTATAAAACCAGCCCCAGTATTCCAGTATTCCAGAGAACCAGAGGATTCCAGTGGGCAGAAAGGGCGTGGAGTTGAAACCAGAGTAGCCCTGAGTTGATGATTCTTGAGCTGCGCTTGGGGATCTGAGAATTCTTGATACTACTCTCCTGCTACAGATGTTTGAAAATTTCCTTAATAAATAAATAAAATCCCTTCACCAGGAAGGGGTCTGCTAACCAAGGCTGGCGACTGGCATCTACTCTCAGGAGCACTTGCGACTTGGTGTTCTCTCTAACTCTGAGCTCTTTATGCACCAGGAACTGCATTTCAGTCATTATTTTGGTGCCGGTGACTGGTGGTGGGCGATCCTCTTGGAGCCTGTAGGCCATGCTGGGAACAAACAGGGCAGCTACCCATGCCGTTTCAGGGAGGCCACTGCCCCCAAACATCTTCCCACCTGCCATCTATGCCACCTCAAATTCTACCGCTAAAGCCTCAGGCTTCTGGGTCGAGGCATGTTCTCCTAAAACACGGCAATGGTTAGCAACCATATAGGCATCAGGTTTCAAGACACCAGCTGCTCTGAAGGCGTGGAACGGGGTGGTGGTGGGGGGGACGACAGGTAAGTTTTTTTTTTTCATTTGCTACTATTTTAGCATATATATACATTTTTACATCTTTATTGGAGTACAATTGCCCTACAATGGTGTGTTAGTTTCTGCTCTATAACAAAGTGAATCAGTTATACATATACATATGTTCTGATATCTCTTCCCTCTTGCGTCTCCCTCCCTCCCACCTTCCCTATCCCACCCCTCCAGGCGGTCACAAAGCACCGAGCTGATCTCCCTGTGCTATGCAGCTGCTTCCCACTAGGAAAGACTTGATTTTGAAAGAACTTCCCAGATCACCTTAACTCAAGTAGCAAGCTTTCCCTCCACCACTTTCTGGAGACCACTTCACCCCAGACATCATCTTACGTTCATGTGGTTTGTTTCTTATCTTCATCCTCCCACCAGAAGGTCAGCTCCACCAGGGCAGGGATTTTTTGTCAGTTTGATCATAAATCACAAATGTCAATTTGATCACAGCTGAATCTAGAACAGTCCCTGGCACACAGCAGGCATATAATGAATATTAGTTGAATGAATGGATTGGGGGGACAGGGTGGGACTGGAGACCCAGAGGAACCTATTCAGCTGTATCCCCACCTCCACCGCCCCCACCCCCATCCCCCAGCACTCAGCTCTGAGTTCCTGCCCAAAGTCCAATGGTTCATTTCTTCCTTGTAGCTTCCCAAGGTTTTCCCCAGAGGCCTGAGGGGAGCATGGTTGTACCACTCTGGTCGCTGGATAGGGAACTGGGCCCCATCTGGCCCCTCACCCCCACCCCAGGATGACAGGCAGCCTGGAGTTGGAATCAGGAGACCTGGATTCTAAGTAAGGCTCGGCGGCTAACTCAACGTGTGCCGTTGGGCAACTTGCTTTCCCTTTCTGGGCCCCAGTTTCTTCATCCATTAAATGAGATATTGAGCTCTGAGCCGTCAGAGGCTGGGTAAGCAGCCAGTGTTCCAGTGGTACAGAAAGGTGAGGCAACTGCAAAGAAGAGTCTTTTGGGGTCAGTTGCTACGGCAACTGTGCACACACTAAGGCCTGCAAATCAGGCCCTTTGTTTGGCTTCCCTAGCCCTGGTGGTCTGTCTGTGATTGGAGGAAGAGCCTTTATTAACGTTGTGGGCAGTGGAAGAGGATGGAGAAATGATGGGGGTTGTTGGGGAGCTGGGGACCAGTCTAGGGTGGGCCTGCCAGCCCTGCCCTCCACCACAGTGTGGGAGATGGACTCGCTCGCGAAGTAGGTATAGAACTAGATGTCTAAGCTGGGCGGGACCCCAATGACCGTGCACTCTACCCCCTCACATGTACAGTAGCCGAGGAGGAAATTGAGCCCAGAGAGTCAAGGGGTTTGTCAAGATCTGAGAGGCCCCAGAATGACCCTTCCCACCACCATCCTGGTCAACCTAGGAAGTTAGGGGAGGAGTGCTTTTCAGGGAGCCCTGCAAACCATCTTCCTGGTAAACACTGTCCTTTCTGAGCTTGTACTTGGGAAAGTAGAGGGCCAAGCTTGGAGGGCAGGAGCCACCTGTGCACGCTGACCAGGGAGGTGGACAGCTGTGCCTGGTCCTGGCTGTGCATAGGCGGGGAAGGGGACACAGAGCCACTGACGGGTCTGGGGCTAGAACCCAGGCTTTGGTCTCTGTTACTTGGGCGCCAAAGTCATACAGTTCTCCCAACTTTAGTTTCTCCATCTGCGAAATGGAGATAAATAGCTACTGAAGATGACTATAAAAGCATCGTGAAAACACAGGAGGTCGGGAGGGGACACGAGCCCACCCTGGAGCCCTGGCTGCCTTACCCTCCAGGACAATGTGCCCTCCTCTCCTTCTCTGCCCACCCACCCACCCTCCTCTGTGGTTTGGGGCTTCTTTTCTTCCAACCACTCCTCAAATGCTAGGGCTCCCTCTGGGGCTCCAGGCCAGTGTCCATTTGCTCTTTTCTTCTTCCACCTCAGTACTTTCCCAATATTCCATGTCCTCCCCCTACATGTCCCAGCCTCCCTTGCAGTTGGGTTGAGGCCATGTGACCAGTTCTGGCCAATGAGCTGTGGGCAGCGACAATGTCCATCACTTCCGGAAGTGCACAGGTGTACTTCCTCCAGGCTTTTCTTCTCTTGCTGCGGCAACCTTGGAAGTCACGTGTTGAGATGGTGGCACATAAGATGGAGGTCACCTGGCTCCCTGAATCACCGATTGGAGGAGAGCTTCTGCCAACCCATGATGAACTTTGTATGCATAGGAAATAAATCTCTTTTTTTGCTAGGATGCTGAGATTTCAGGATTGGTTTCTAAGTTACAGTTTTTCCTATCCTGGCTAATAGATCATCAAATAAATGCCAAATTTATCTCTCTTTCAGCTTCCAAACCTCCTTCTGAGCACCCCACTAGCTACAATTCTCCAGGGTTCTCTCTCTGTGAATGGCCGACGGTGGAACTCAGTCTTCCCCTAAATGTGGCTCGCTTCCTTGCTTCCCATTTTGGTGATCAACAGCCATGAAAACCAGAAACCTGAAGCTTCCTCTAGACCTCCCTTCCCACCTCTCATGTGTGGCCAAGTCCCCACCATCTTCTCTGTCCTCTCCTCCATGCCCACTGCCACCTCTGCACCTCAGGCTCCCACCACCTCTTGCCCCTGGGTGGTGGGCACGGTCTCCCAGTGCCTCTCCCAGCTTCTAGCCTTTATCTCGGTTCTTTAAAGATGTTGCTCCCTGTCTTCCAGTTTGTTTCCAAGGAGAAATGTGCCATCATCCTTATCTTTGTCCCTTTGTATATAATGTCACTTTCCTCTGGCTGCTTTTACGTTTTTCTCTTTATCACTGGTTTTAAGCAGTTTGATTGTGACGTGCCTTGGTGTAGTTTTCTTCACATTTCTTGTACTTGCATTTTGCTGAGCTTCTTGGATCTGTAGGTTAATAGTCTTTGTTACATTTGGAAAATTTTTGGTCATTATTACTTCAGAACTGTTTCCGTCCTCCCTCTATCTTCTCTCCTTGGGGGACTTCTATTACATGTATATTAGACCTTGTTCCAATAACTCAGGGATGCTCTGTTCTTTTTTTTTCTCCAATCTTTTTTCTCGTTGTGTTTCATTTTGTATAGTTTCTATTTTTTAACTTAAAAATTATTTATTTAAGTAAAATTTATTTACAATATTATATTAGTTTCAGGCATACCACATAGTGATTCGATATTTTTATACATTACAGAATGACCACCATGATATGTCTAGTTACCATCTGTTACCATACAAAGTTATTACAGTATTATTGACTATACTCCACATGCAGCACATTATATCCCTGTGGCTTAGTTATTTTACAACTGGACGTTTGTACCTCTTAATCTTCCTCACCTATTTCACTCACCCCCCAACTCCTCTCCCCTCTGGCAACCACCAGTTTGTTCTCTGTATCTATGAGTGTGTTTCTGTTTTGTTCTGTGCATTTGTTTGTTTTGTTTTTTAGATTCCACATACAAGTGAAATCATACAGTATTTGTCTTTCTCTGTCTGACTTATCTATTTTAGTTTAATGCGCTCTAGGTCCATCCACGTTGTCTCAAATGGCAAGATTTCATTCCTTTTTATGACTAAGTAATATTCCACTGTATATGTATACCACATCTTCTTTATCCATTCATCTATGGATAGGCACTTAGGTTGCTTCCATGTCTTGACTTTAGTAAACAATGCTGCAGTGATATAGAGGTGCATATATATTTTTGGGTTTTCAAAAATTTATTTATTTTATTATTTTTGGCTGCATTGGGTCTTCGTTGCTGTGCATGGCCTTTCTCTAGTTGCAGCGAGCGGGGGCTACTCTTCGTTCTGGTGTGCAGGTTTCTCATTGAAGTGGCTTCTCCTGTTGCGGAGCACAGGCTCTACATGCACGGGCTTCAGTAGTTGTGGCTCGCGGGCTCCAGAGCGCAGGCTCAGCAGCTGTGGCGTACGGGGTTAGTTGATTGGCCGCATGTGGAATCTTCCCGGACCAGGGCTCGAACCGGTGTCCCCTGCATTGGCAGGCGGATTCTTAACCACTGCACCACCAGGGAAGCCCCTCTATTTTTGAATTAAAGTTTTTGTTTTCTTTGGAAAAATGCCCAGAAGTGGAATTACTAGATTGAATGGTAGTTCTATTTTTAATTTTTTGAGGAACCTCCATACTGTTTTCCCAGTGCTGCACCGATTTACACACTCGCCAATAGTGCACGAAGGTTCCCTTTTCTCTCACTGCTTTTCTCTCTTATTCTTTAATTTTTGCCATTTTAATGACCATGTGTCTTGGTGTGGACTTCTGAAGGCTAATCTAGTTTGTGACTCTCTGTGATTCCTGGACCTGGATGTTTTCAGCTCTTATTTCTTCAAATACATTCTCTGCCCCTTTCTCTCTCTCTTCTCCTTCTGGGACCCCTATAATTCAAATGTTAGTATGCTTGATATTGTCCCAGAGGTCTCTTAAACTATCCTCATTAAAAAAAAATTTTTTTTGTTCAGCTTGGGTGATTTCCGCTTCTCCGTCTTTCAGTTCACTGATCCATTCCTCTGTATCATCTAATCTGCTGTTGATTCCTTCTAATATATTTTTTATTTCCGTTATTGTATTCTTCACCTCTGTTTGGTTCTTCT